TAACGTTATTATCCCTAAATCTAAAAAAATAAAACAAATGAAAACTATTCTATAAAATGAAATGTTATATACTAACCACCACGGTGTCCATCGCGTCAAACCACAGCTTGTACTGGAATAGATGGTCACCATACTGACGACTGTTGGCCGAAAGCCATCGAAGACCACGTGGGAATGCATCCTCGGTGGCCTGTGCCCTCGTCTCGGAATCTCGAGGTGCCAGATGTGGGAATCGCTCCCACGCCAAAACTGCAGTAGGGCGACCCATCCACCAAGGTCACCGCTAAGAGAAGTATCGGTATGCGTAATGTGCAAAGTCGACCTACCCATCTCACGGTAAAGGTAGGATAAAACAGCAGCTCCCCAGGCAAACCGTCTGGCTCTCTCCCAATCCTCAATCAGAAGTAGGTATTGTAGGTGCATCATACCTCCAGACCGATCCGAGAAAAGTACACCTCCAAGCAGAGATAGAGCATAAGCTCGTGCAAACTGCTCTATAACCTCCTGTGATGCATTCTCCGGCAGATGACTGAATTGAACCCTCAGCCAAACAATCCTAACAACAGCGACACTGCCTACAAGATCGGCCGGAAATCGTCCTAACAGTCTCAAACAGATCGCCAACCACTCCTCATCCGGTATATCAACTACGACGGCATCACCGTCGATCGCCAGACCGGACAGTGTAACAACGTCCTCTAACGTGATCGTGATCTCACCACTTCGAGATATGGACGATAAAGCTCATGGTAAGGTACTAAAATGGTCGTACCTCGAACATGGTACGATCGATCACCAGCCTATAGTGCACAAAACTTATATTAATTCATTTTCATTCGTAATAATTCTAATTTCACCTAATAAATTCTAATCTGTCTTATCTAACATGAAATTATACTAATTTCACCTAACAGTTCAGTTCACAACCTAAAATAATCTAATTAGCTAATTAACTTTACATGAATAATTATCAAATACTTACCTCGTTTGTCCAAACAGAGTCGATACGATGTTGGCCATGTCCCCAAAGAAGTGTCGGATCGACCGGACTTGGATCAATTGTCGCCGGCGGTAATCTCATCGAATAAGGATCCATAAGCCTAGGAACTGCAAAAACAAAGCAACAAAACATTAAAAAAACACAAAACATTAAAAAAAAATCAAGCTGCCGACGATTGTCTCACCGCGCAAACGGCCGCCGACTCCACCACGACCTCGCCGACCTCTCCCTATGCCTCTGCCGGCGACTGGTTCTTCGTCGGAGGATATCTCGGGCGGCGGCGGTTGAATCAAGGGCGGCGGCGCTTCTGTCAAAGGCGGCGGCGCTTCAGTCTGGGACGGCGGCGCTCGAGTCGGCAGCGGCGGCGCTCGAGTCTGCGGCGGCGGCGCCCGAGTCTGCGGCGGCGGCGCCTAAGTCTGGGGCGGTAGCGGTTGCGGCGGGCGGCTCTGGGTGTCTCTGGTTCGGGGTTGGGGGGGAGGAAGAAGAAGAGAGGAGGAGGATGTGTGGTGTGGGAGGGGATAAGGTGGGAGGGGCCCGTCGGAATTTAAAAAAAAAACAGTCTGGGGCGCTCCCGCCTGAGTCTCGGGCGCCAGCGCCTAGGACTCATTAAAAAAATTTGACTGAGGCGGGGCCGCTTGAGACTGGGGCGCCAGCGCCCAGGACTGGGTAAAAAATCAGTCCCGCCTGAGTCTCAGGTGGTCCCGCCCCAATCCTTACTAAAAAACACAATATTTGTGTCAATAGTTTTTAATTTGTAATATTAGTGGTTAATTAAAAAAAAACAATATTTATGTCATTAATCCCGTCCCCGTTGGATGTTGTTTTGTCTATGGGTTTCATGGTTTAGGTAACTCAAATGCGAGAGCCTACTGTCTCTTATATTAACTCTCATGACTGAGTTCTAGAATTTTGGTGTACCGCATACTTTGAGTATGAAAACGGTATCCAGATCATGAATTGTCTGATGTTTCGAACATGATATTATACTTTAACCCTTAGGCCCTGTTTAGTATCATTTTGTTGCTGTTGTGATTGTGTTGAAATTGTGACAACAGAAACACAACAACAACAGAAGAAAAACATAAAACAACAATCGTGTTTAGTTTGTAACTTCTAGAATTATCAATAACAAACACAACACGTTTAGTTCCTTGTATCCAGCATTGGCAACTCTCGGGTTAGAATCTAGATCAATTCTCTGTCCATCTAAAAAAAATGGATCAGGAGGGGCATCCCTTTCGATTTATCTCCTCGCTTTCCTTCCTCTCCTCTCAGCCACCGTCAACGAACTGTAGAAGAAGAAAAACAAGAAAAAGCTTCCTTCAACGGCAGTAATTCCAAGTCCAATCGGAGACGACTCACTCCATGGCCCCTCTCCTGGAGGCGAATCACTCATTCACTCCTTGCCGCCTCTCCTGTCGGGATGGCGAAGAAGCCGGCCAAACTCGGAGAAGAAGTCGTCGCTTCTGTCACCGCCCGCCATGTCCCTGCCCCGCCGGGAAGAAGCCTGGGTCTTCGATGTGATTGGGATTTGAGAGAAAATCCCAGGGATTGCGAGAAGGAAGAGGAAGAAAGCCTAGGTCTTCGGTAGGATTGAGTCGCCGTTGGGATTTTGCGCAAAGGAAAGGAAGAAAGAAGATTGTGCGATGGTACAGAAAGAAGGAAGAGGAAAGGATTAAGGAATAAAGAAATTAAAAAATGAAAAAATTGGCAATTAATGAAATCCCACCAAAAACCCGTGTGCAACGCTGGGGTGAAACGGATCCGAAGCCACAATTTGACGTTTTGTTGATTTGGGCCTTGTTGCCCAAATCTGTTGGACAACAGGAAAAAGAAACCCAACTAAACACGTTTTATTTTCTTGGTTTTCACAATTTTTAAAAGCACAACAGAAAACAAAAACAAGCAACAATACTAAACAGGGCCTTAAAGATCAAAATATAGGTCTTAATTCTCTAAATTTTATACCCAAAGATTAATTTAATTAGAAATAATGTTCGATGGTAATGATTCGTCCAAATATAGGCCAAAAAAATGTACATCTTAGAATTTATAGTTTATGATTTAGATAATTAGGACCTAGAGTTTACTAATTAAGGATTAAGGTATAGTATTAGGCCCAAAAATCCTCCTAATTCGAAATCTAGATAGTGTTTTAATACTCGTGCAGTACTTCTGATACCGTAGAAGTCACATGTTACCTCTCACTTTATTTTTAATCCATAATGAAGATTAGAATGTCACTTTCTACCCAAATGAAAAGGGACAATGGTGCTTATACTTGAGAGAAGAAAAGAAAGAAAGTTGGGTTAACTTTATACTGTGCTCCATCGTGTTGTACTGAAAAGCAAATTAAAAAAGTTAAGGGATAAAAAATAAACAAAACAAAGGATTAGGTTTTCACTTTTGTTTATTTCCATTGTCTAATACCGACCTTCTTCCTTTCAACTTTAGTTATGCTAACCTTCTTTTTTTCCCTAAAAAACAAAATTAAAAATAAAATAAGCAACCAAAAATTTGTTATTATTTAATAGGAAAGCAAAAGGCAGCCAAAAGAAAAGAAAAAAGATACACAAAAGGGCAATAAGAAAATGTGGTGGACTCTCACAAAACAAACTCACAAAAAGTGAAGGGAAGGGAACATGATCTCCTCTTTGCTTTCCCCTTCAAATATTGTTTCTTCTCTTCTTCTACTAAAGAAAATGTCACAACTCAAAAAGTGTCCATTTTGGATGCCTTCATTTTATTACTACATACTCTCTAGTCTCTCCTTTTATCTTCTTTCATTTTCTTTTATGTACTTTTCAATTTAGTCCATTCTTCCCTTCTTTTTTTTTTTAATATCATTCATTCTTTTTGGATCCCATCAATTTTCTTAATAAATAGCCAATAGCTTTGACTTCGCCATGCGTGCAAAGCAATGATCATGATGTGAATTTGTATACATGACGGTTTGTAAAAGAGCAGTTACATTGTCCAACAAAATCTGATAAAAAATAATATGTATAACTTCATTATGCATAACTCGTTGATATGATTTCTTAATATAGCCATATAATATGTCGTATAATAATAGTAAAAATCATATCACTCCTAACAAATATCTGGCTCGGCCACGACATGTACCAGCTGCTTACAACTCCATTCATTGCAAATCATAGCATAGGAAAAGAACATGTGTACTAAAAAAACTGAAGTCACATTCACTCGCTTCTTACCTTTCAACTACTTTCGGCATTTGTACTAGCAAATAGTGTGGTGTTCTATCTTTCACTCATTTCTTCAACTTCCACCCATCTTTCATTCTACACAGCTTCATATCATATGCTCTCATCTTCCAAGCCTGTCTGGTTCGATAAGGAACCTCTTGAAAATTTTGTGGTGTATGCCTAATTAATGAGACAGAAAGGTGAAGGAAATCATGATAAGGGTTGATTTCCTTCAAAGCGGCCATTAGATAGGTTCATTCATCAAGTAAGGTGAAGAAGCACTTGCATGAAATGATATATGCACAAGTTTAGTATTAGGGTGAATAGAGAACAACCATACCATACTTACTTACTTGTCCGATTGATCTCTATAAGTTTCGAATACCGTACCGAGAGGGACGATATATATAGGGGCGGTCATCCACAAATCCTCTTTATGTTGCAAGGCTTTGAAGTCTAAATACCGATGATTGTAAAATCGTATCGGAAGCTGTTGTATGTAAAGAGTAAGTGGTAGGGTATTTTATGCTGACATCGTGGTTTGATCATTGCATACAGTTAAATACAGTCTACCGATTTAATCTTAGGTAAGAGATTTTTCTGATTGAACTGCCGATACAATAAGCTAATACATTACCCGATAAGGAAGGGAAAGATCATGGAATGTGATTGGTGGGTACCTATATAGATAGGAATGTGTGGCCATGGCAGGCCAAGTTACCATATTTAGACGACACACACACAATACTTCCTTGAGCCATATAAAGCAAGGAGAGAACATGTTATAGGAAATTCGACTTCCAAATTGATTGTTGCCGTGTATAATAAGCACATCCAACATTTGCTGACAATACACATTTTGAGATGAAAGGGACAACTTCTTGTGAAAACTCTAAAGTTAAACGCAGTCGGTGTAAAATACTTCAAAATCAAATGACCTCATAAGAACTCACCATAACAGATTTCAACCAAAAAAAACTATGCGGGGTTAGTCCGATATCGTTCAAAAAAAGAGCTGAGATGTTATATATTGTACACGGTGACACAATAAATGTATGTGTTACAGTGTGCATGCCCGCGGATTTACCCGCTCACGATAGCTGAACCGAGTCTGAATGAGAGGGAGAGCAATGCACTGTTTGTTGCATAAGGGAAACCCAGAACTAAACAAAATGTAACACCTTAGGCAAATCCCACATCGACAAAGTACGAGAGAGATCCATGGTTCATAAGTAGGAAACCGGCCTTAACTGACAAAACACGTTTTTGGGTAAATGGAGGAGTTCTTGTGCTTACTTCGAAGTTAAACGTGCTCAGTGTGGAGTACAACAAGGATGAGTGACCTTATGAGAAGTCACCTTGAATTGCACTCCAAATCCAAAACCGTGAGTGTCAAGGCCCAAAACGGACAATATCTCCGTCGAGAAAAGATTCGGAATGTTACACAAACCCCTTTAGGAAAACAGGAATAAACTTGACTAGTAAAAAAAAAGACAAAACTCACAAATCAAGGTAAGGTAAGTTTTTGAGCACATTCATGTCTGTCTCTGTCCCCACACTGCCTTTTGTTAATAGGAAACAGAAAGAAATGGACCCCCAATTCGGTCCATAAAGAGAGAAGGAAAGATCTTTGGGATTAATTAATTAATTAGATATAATCAAGTAGAGAAGCGCCACGTGGACATCATCATCATCATTAATCTTCAAATTTTGCCTCATCTCCACCTTTTCTCTTCCCTTTTCCAACTACAAACCCACCCTTTTGTTTTTTCTATTCCCTGTCTGGCCCCCACACCATTTTAAAACCAACCAACCACTTGTTCGCCAAATTCCTTTTTAACCCTAAAGGCTACACCTTTACCTTTCTTTCACAATCCTCGACAATCCTCCCCACAATACTACGACTAAACAGATTTGCAGGCAGCATTCAACCAAACCCTACAAATTACCCAACAACATGTCAAACTCTCTTCTTATCAATCATCATCATATCTGCCTCCACATTTCTCTTTTCAACATGCCTGTTTCCACTTGCTCCATTTTCATAACTGTTTCCTCATTACAATAATCAATCTAATATCATTAAATAAAATATATTTATAATACTAACACTAATCAACAAAAGGAGAATTGTGCTTGCTTGACAAGGGAAGGAAAAAAACTACCCTGCCTAATTCCTCTTCTTCTATTATCTGCAACATCAAAAACCAACAATAGAAACAACTCTAGGAGAAGAAGAAGAAGAAGAAGAAGAAACCAACAACACCTCGTTACAAACAAACCCAGGACAAGTAAAGAGACCACTGCCCTCTCTCTTCTTCATCCATCTCTTCCAATCAAATTAAAGATTAGATCCCTTCCCATTTTCAGTCATTCTTTATCAACACTGAGAAAAGAGTTTCCCTTCTCAAACTCTTTTCTCCTTCCAAAATCTTATTATATTCTCAACTACCATCTTTCCTTCCTTCCATTCCCCTCGACCAGACCAGACAGCAACACCACCACCTTCCGGCGAGGTGATGCAGGGGCGGATACTTTCCTTCTTTCTTTCTTTCTTTCTGGGAAGCAAAATAAATACAGCAGCAGGGGGGTTTACTTTTACTCACCAGCTGGCTGCTTCTGCTCTGCCGGCTTCACCTGCACACCAGCCGGGACAGAATGCTGCACGTACGAGAAACCCCCACCAGGACCAACCTGGTGTCCCCCCTTCCCCGACGAAGCTGCCGCGGCGGCAAACTGTGCATGCATTGGCAACACCCCACCACCACCACCACCCTTCATGTTGTTAGCAGCAACAGCGGCAGCCGACTTTGCAGGGTCGGTCGTTGGAGAGTTGGCAAGGCTGGTCGGTGGGCACAATGACAGCATCCCTGACGACGAGGGCGGAGGCGTCGATCCCTGCTGCTGTTGTTGGTCGCCACGATGTCTCTGGAGATAGAACCCGCTCGTTGGAGATGCTGAGGCTGCAGTGTTGTTTTGTTGAGCGTGGTGCTGTTGCTGAGCTTGTGCCTGCATGAAAGCAGCGTTATACAGCAACTGTGCTTGCATCTTAGGCAGATGTTGTTGCTGCTGCTGGGACAGTTGTTGTTGACCCCTTGAGCTGGTGGTTGACGTCTGAGTGTTATGAGGATGGCCAAGGATGGATGGAATGTTTCCTCCCGCAGCTGATGAAGATTTTTGGGTAGCCACCGATGGAGAATGGGAATGCGAGTTCTTTCCCTGCTGAGAAGACTGTTGTTGCCCACCTTTGTTACTGTTTGACGTTGAAGTTGTCCTTGGACTTCCACCAGCACCACCTTTGGAGATAGACGACGTGGTGGGAGAACCCACCATTACTGGTGGAGATGGAGAATGATTGCTACCACTTGGAGGTGGCTGTTGTTGTTGCTGCAATGTCGATGACTGTTGCTTAGGATTGGATGCAAAGGATATTTGGGTATGACCTCCCGGTTGCCCTCCTCGGCTGCTCTGCTGTTGTGGCAGCTGTTTAAGTGATGATGATGAACTTGGCGAGTTGAATGACGAGGAAGGAGCAGCTGGCCTCACAGAGTTCTTCCACTGAGGGCTTTGACCAGCAGGGCTACTACCAGTCTGGAAATTCTGAGGAAATGCAGACATTGCGTTAGGAAACTTAGCTGCAATTGATGGAGGCATGTGGTCTGGGTAAAGGTTTCCGTTGCTGGAAGGGGGTTTGTTCCGGCCAGAAGCTGCTGCAGCGGCAATCTGCTGCTGCTGCTGCTTGTGAAGCTGCATCATCTGCTGCTGTTGTTGCTGTATATGGTGGTGTTGTTGCTGGTGCTGATTTCTTTGCAGTTGCTGCTGCACACCAGGCGCCCGAGCAGCAGAGGAACCAATGTTCAAAGTCCTGGCAGAGCTATCCATTACACTGTTGGATGAATCTGACAAATCTGTCCTTGAGAAAGCTATTGACTGTCCTGGAGCAGGGGCCTTTGGTCCTCCCACCATGACCTTTCTGTCTTCCTCCATATGAGTTCCATTGTTCCCTCCACTCTTACCATCCTCGGAAACACGGTAGTTATTGTTATTCTTCTTACTATGCTGTGCTGCTTGGGCAGCCGCAGCAGCTGCCATGAACTGATACCCCTGTCTCGTAGACTCGGATAGGTTCTGGAAAAGTGGGTGATTATGTGCCAAAGAGGACATGTCAAGGCCAGGAGTAGCCATGGCGCCACTGATGGACCCAAAGGACATGGCAAAAGCCTGTGATTGCAAGGCTTCAGCTCCACCAGCTTTGGACCCATGATTATTTTGTTGTTGCTGGGACGATTTCTTCTCGCTCGGGTTGTTCCCACCTGTGCTACTACCGCTCATCCCTCCTCCCATTGATGCAGGTGCCATCATAGCAAAGTTAGGCGGGTGCATTGGCATCGAGAAACTCTGCCCATACATTGTCATGTTTGGTCTGGAGGAGGTTCGGCTGCTGTCGGCTGTGGACGGACTGTCCTCCCCGCCCATTTCATTCTCTAGTTGCCGCCCTTGATGATGTGGGAAAGTCTGGTTCTGAATCTGCTGCTGCCTCTGCTGAAGCTGCTGTAGTGACAGCTGTGATGGCTGGTTTTTGGGAACAGGGAAGCTCTGCAGATTTCCTCCATTGCCAACATTGACAGCAGGACCATGTGACGATCTCTGCTGCTGCTGCTGCTGATTCTGCAAGTGTTTTTGGGACGATGAAGAACCACTAGACATGCCACTAGGGTTTTGGTGACCCTGCTGGTTTTGCTGTGCATGAGATGTTTGCTGTTGCTGTTGCTGTTGCTGTTGCTGTTGTTGTTGTTGTTGTTGTTGTTGTTGTTGTTGTTGTTGATGCTGAAGCTGTGAAGGGTGAATCATTTGGGAAGAGTAGAAAGACCCGTTGAAGAAGGGCAAAGGAGGTGTTCCTCTGTAACATGCTGCAGCCCCAACATGTGCCGGAATAGGAATTTGGTACGCACCGTTCTGCAGAAACGCCAAGTACTGAGTCTCACTGGCAGGCATATTAGGGTAGCTAAAGCTCATTGCTGCAGCAGCTCCTGCCATTGCTGTTGCAGCACTGGTAACTGAAGGAGGAGGAGCAGTTGCACTTGCCGAAGATGCAGAACCTTGTAGTGCAGGAGGTGACTTAACAGTGCCAGGACGGGCTGAAGCTGCTGCAGCTCCTGCCTGCTGCTGACTTAGAGGAAATATGAAAGCAGGACCATGCTGAAGCAACAAAAAAAATGAACCTTGTTCAGTAAATCTATCTTCAAGGAAGGTCACGTATTCAGAAAAGGGTCAAAAGGGCAAAATACCAGAATATTGCTTGATGCTCCAGATGGCAATGCCTGCTGAAGCATAATCTGTTGCTTTCTCTGAGCAGTGTCCACAGCATTACCTGCAGCAGCAGCTTGAGGGGGCTTGTCTTTCCCAGAGTGACCAGGGAAGATAGCAATACCCTGTTGTCCCTTGTCTTGCACGGGATTCAACCCCCTTCCAGAGTGTAGATCGGGGGCCGGGACAGAATTAAAGGCTTTGGCTCCTCCATATGGCAATGGAAGAGTAGACCCAGCAGCGGCAGCAGCAGGCCAGAAAGAAGTAAGCCTCGTACATTGCTGGTGATACTGAATCGTACGTGCAATGTAGCAATGTGTTGCACACCTCTTTGGCCGAGTCGGTGGAGGGTTATGGCCGTAAAGCAAATGGGGAGGCTATTTGCAGAAGAAAAAGAGAAGGGGAAAGGGAAGTCAGAACCTAACAGATGGTTAAAATCGGCCATGGAAATAAATTACAAGAGGATTTAAACCACTATACCTGCATCGGGGTAGGAGTGACTGGGTTTCCATCCATGGATACAACGCCTTGTAAAGGTGCCATGTACCTGCTGGGTTTGAAAGAGTCATTTTCGCATATATGATACCAGAAAAGCTTTTTTCTCACAACTAAAAGAAAGGAAAGAAGAAGAAGGTAGATGGCAGAAAACAACAGCCCGTCCGTACCCCATGTGTGGAATCCCACCAGGCCAGCTGGCCATAGACATTGGCAAAGGTAGAGTGGATGATTGGGCTGAGAAATAAGAGAGAACAAAAAAGAAGAAGCAGATTAGATAAAAGCAAATGTGAAATCTTATCACAAGTCAAGAAATCCACAACATTTTCAGCCCTCTGTTTTCAAATGATTTCTTTTGCTTTTCTCGAAAAGAAAAAACGAGAGAGAGAGAGAACGAAGAGCACTACTTACTAGCTTTCTCGGAGATGGTTTGTGGCTGCTGTTGTTTCTGGGGATGAAGATGCAACTTGTTCCCACTGATTGAAGAATTGCCATTATCCCTCTCTGGCCTCGCCAAATCAAGCTGGAGATCAATATTCTTCTCTTTACTATAATCTCGACCTGGTTTCTGAGAATCAACATCTCCTAATGCTGTAACTTTCATCCTTTTCTCTTCTGGCTCCACATTTACATCCTCCTTCACAATTTTCACCGCTTTCTCATCTTCTTTGACCGCTGGCTTCGTCTCCTACACAAATAGAAAATCAAGAAGACCAAAACCATTTAATTTCTTGCACAGCTCCATAAAACACCAAGCACTGATACGTATGTAAGTGACAGGACGACAGAGCCTCAGAGGGTTGACCCCACTCACCGTTTCACCATCTGTGACCACTGGTTTAGGATCTACAGCCACAAAATTAACTTCACTGTCCCTTTCTGGTGATGATCTTGACGGAGGAGGAGCCTGCTATCCAATAATTGGAGGAAAAAAATAAAAAATCCCAGAAGAGGAAGAAGGAAGAAGAAGCAGGAAATCTCAGAACTGGAACCAGAAATCCCTTTTTTTGCCTACCATCAGATCTATCTGAAACTTCTCTTCACGTGGATTCTCAGGCTCGATAACTGCTGAATCACTGGATGACGCAACAGAAGAAACAGAAGATGAGTAGGATGAACGGAACAAATTAAAAACTGAATAACACCATCGCAAAATGAATTCGATGCTCACGGTTTCACGGCCACAGAATTCTCGCGATCGTCGTCCAATCTATGAGCAGAGGAAGCAGATTCTTTAAACGGCGATCGGGGCTCCTCTTTCGACTCCACCATATCTCTAGCATCTGATTCGCCAGTCAACGGTGGCTTCGAATTGGACAAAATGCTGTTGTTGTCGGCCTTCGCTGATTCCGGGAACTGATCTGAAGGGGGCGTCGTTGCCGCCACCGCGTGATTCAAAGATGATTTACATACGGCACCACCATTTTCAGCTACCGCAACTCGACTCTTGTCCAGCATGGAAGTCGATGCCTCTATTTTTGCAGGATGATCGGAATCAACCTTGTTTGGCTGAGGGAGAGAGCTGCTCCGAACAGTGAATATTGATGGGGTCTCATCGTCGTACTTCACTGGCCGAGGTCTCTTCCTCTTAGGGGCTGATCGGGAAAACCAAAACGAAAGGAATAAAAAGAGAATCAGATGAGAGAATTTTGCCGGAAAAACTGAATCACAAGGGCTGATTGTTGTTCCAGAGTTGCTATGGAACCCAAAGAAAAGAAGGGGGTGATCAGATAAAGCTCTGATCCAGATTTCCCCAGCTTTTCCATCAATTCCACAGCAACCAAACAGAAACACTCCAGCCACCGAGGGTACAAATCCTCGCTTACCAGTTGCAGATATGGTTGTAGCAGAAGAGGTAGAATTAGTTAGTTGTGGGGCCGAAGAAGGTTGAGGTAAAGTAGCCGACGAGTTATAGATCGGCGATGAGACTCTGGATTTGGCATCGGTGTTCAGCCTGTTGTTGACTTCTTTCAAATCGGCGGTGGGAGGCATGGTTTCTTGCTTTGAAGGACCCTGAGGCTGCCTCATCAGTCCGTACAACACTTCTGCGATCTCAATCTCAATCTCGTCTTGAGCTGAGGAAGTAGATTTTGATGATGACTTCGGCGGCTTCTGCTTCTGGCCATTGGCCTTCAGATAACAACATCAAAAACAACTGGGTTAGTATCACGAAAACAACTGAAATAAAGATGAGAATTGGAAAGGCGAGAACAGAGGGAGGACGCACCATCTTCTTCTTAGCTGAAGCGTTAGAAGAAGAAGGTGAGAGCGGAGCAGGGGAAGGGGACGCTGAAGCCAAAATCCCTTGTCCACTGGATCTCACCGGAGATTGCGAAGCTTGCCGATGAATTTGCTCTGCACCAACTCCACCGCTTGAAGCCCAAGGTTCATGAGACCTCTTTGTACAAGCTGCAAAAACAGGAGAAATACATAAGAAAATCAGAAATCCAATCTACCGGCCAGGCACTGAAATCCGCCGACGGGATGAAATAAATCCAGAACGGTATATATCAAAATCTCGTCCACCTCACTACCTGACCGAGCTTTTCTAGGCACCGACACCCCAATCATCTCATCGGGAGCCTTCCAAGGAGTCGCAGTAACGACCGGAGAAGCCCTAAAAACTTTAGCCGGAGGCGGAAAGCTCTTCCGATGGTGGTGCTGGTGATGGTGATTTGACAAAGAAGAAGAAGAGAGTGACGATGGATTCGGAGGTAACATCCTCAGGGAGCTGGCGGCGCCCACGCCTCCGCCTCCGTCATCGTCGTCCTCCTCCTCATCGTCGTTTACACTCTCTTCCGTCGTTTCATCGCCGGCATCTTCTCTGATGCTGCCGTGCATCAACCGGTCTCCTCGCCGGCGCTTGCTCCGGCTGCTCATCCGATCTCTATCCCGCTCTCTGTCCCGTTCACGATCTCGCTCCCTCTCCCGTTCTCTGTCCCGGTCCCGATCTCGATCCTTTTTACCAATCCCCCGATCTCGCAGCCTCACCGTCTCCGGCAACTCCACAGGTCCGTCGTCCTCTGTGAAAACGAAAGAGAAGAGAATCAGCACAAAGGAGTAGAAGGAAGATAAAGCGAGCGAAAGAATATCTAGATCTGATGGGAAAATTCAAACCTGGAGAGTCTCTGAGGCTGTTACTCCTATGTCGCCGCCGGTTCAAGCCGTTGCTCACGGCCATGGCCACTCGTCTAGGTTCTCTGTTTCTGTCCATATCTGGCGTTGTGATAAGGTGTTAACAAACAGAAAAGGTGTAGGAGCTGAATCGCATCTCACATCACCGGAAACCGAGCATCACTGGTCGGCAAAAATGGTGGATTTCTGTGTCGCCGGAACCGGCGAAAAATTCAGAGAGGCGCTAATTGAGCCGGCGATATCCTACACACAATCGGAGGTGGAGAAATTCCTTCCAGTAGGGAAGATCTATCTCCTCTCCCTCTGGCGCTCTGCTCTCACTTATCTCCACCTAGTCCTTCCCCTCTCCTTCTTCTTCTCCCTTCTCTCTCTCTAAAATTCTCTGTTTCTCCCCCCTGACTCTCTCTCTCTATCTATCTCTGTCCTCTTTCCGTGCTCTCCTCTCCTCTCATCTTTTTAGCCTATTTCACTGGCAGCGCAACCCACTCCAGAGCCCTAGCGGACGGTCCAGATTCGTCTCTGTCATACATGGTTAGATCTGGGCCTTTCGTTGCCTGACGAAATGGACGGACGCGATGGCGTGAAACCAACATGGCAAAATCAAAGCCGTCGAAGGAGAGGGGTGATAGGTCCTGTGAACGCTCACCTTTTTCCGCAGAGATACCGCCACGTGTCAGCCATTACTCAGGCTCCATGTTTACTCACTACCGATTTGGGAATATTTTAATTGCCAAATGTATTATTTCCGAGAATGCGGAGATTTATTTTTTCTCTCTCGTTGAATAATGCGGAAATTTAATCATTTAGTAACAGAAATAAAAATAAAATAAAAAGGATGAAAGAAAAAAAGGAAAACAATATTTGTTTGTACGTTATTAGATTTGATAAAATTATTAATCGAATAATTAAGTCATTGTACCAATCGTGAGAAGCTAGGGTGCTAACTTAATAGGAGTTAGCACCATCTTAACTGTTCTAATCACCGTTCGTTCATTTTAAGTGAATCGAATGGTGTTGTATAGTGAAGGGTATATTAGGCATTTTAGAAAATTAAAAAATTAAAATTTTGAAATGTCCTTTTCTCTTCGCAGTAGCTACGTCCTAAAATAACTGTTCAAAAATCAGTACTACTTTCAACTTTTAAGTAGTAATTTTTGGTGCGTATAGTAGTTATTTTAAAATTGTTATAGTGATTTAATTGTTAATAGTAGTGATTTTTAGGGGATAGAAATTGAAATAAACAAATGAAATCATTACTACTTAGTAGTTGACAGAAATCAGAGAGACTAAATCACTACTAATAGATAAAAATACTACGAAAAACATTACTACACAATCACTATGAATGCAAATTAAATTATATTAATAATACGAATCACAATCTCTACTAATACTAATCACAATCATTACAGAAGAAATACTACTAATACGCACAATAGTCTTAATACGAATCACAAGCACTACTTATACTAATCCCACTCACTACAAAAGAAACACTCCTAATACGCACAATAGTCCCATCGCGAAACCTAATGGCTAGTATGCATATCTTTTTTTCTCAGTCCTATCTTCTTCGTCTCCAAACTTTCGATTTCGGAGTCACAAGACAACATGCATATCTCACAGGTCGACACCGCTTTAAAATCGGCTTCAAGTTTCACATCGATCGGCGGTGACGACACGAATCTCGGACGCTGGATTTGATGAAGGGAGAGGAGGGGCGGGCAGTTCATCTTAAGTGTATAGAGAAGGAAAGAGGAGGCGGCCGTGATTGAGAGTGAGGATGGGTGTGTATAAAGTTTTTACATTAGGATTTCAGGTAATATTACTATAGTATCCTTTAATTAATTTCGATCTTAGAATGAATATTTCAATCGAATGAATATTTCAATCGAATGTACGTTGTTTGCCTCGTAGAGAGTTAGCAACTAAACTCATCCCGTACCAATCCCACTCGGGGAAAGAGATGACAAGAGGGAAAGAGAAAGTGCTGTCTCCCACGAATCTCGATTAAATAGATTATATATTAAATAAAAAAAATAAAAAAGGTAGGAAAGCCTTGAATTTTCCCTCGGTGACCGGCTATAGCCGGTGAAGCGGGACCTTGGTAAAAGCAACAAGGAATCTAGGTGACCGCTGAAAATAGAGCTCCAACCGGTCAAATCTATAATTCCTGGTTCCACGTATCACTTTCCTTCGTTCCGAATTAAACCCACCTCATCTGTCTCTTTTTTTTTTTAATTAGACCTAAATAATAATAATTCTTACGGATGAGAGTAAATAAATACACCTGTACGTTTCCCCACATCGACCCCACCATGGGCCCCGCCTCATTAACCACGGAAAATTCGACGGCTGAGATCTATTTGTCGTGCCAATGACATGTTTTCTGGCCGCTAGATTATAATCCTACGTGGCTGTTGGCTGTGGCACCATCAGTATCAGAGAGGGGAAAAAATTATATATTGAAGGAATAAAGAATAAATGAAAATCCAACCAGCTAACAAAAAGTCCTAACTGGCGCCGAACCAAAAGGCTCGGGCTCGGGACTGCCAATTATAAATCATAAATATTAATATTATATAATATTGTACAGATAATATTTAATAATATCGTTTTCCTCAGTGCGCTTAGATCTGGCCGTGAATTCGCTGTCCCCACAGAACTCAACGGCTGAGATCGGTGCTGCTCGCAAGTGCAAGTGCAGTGCGTGAAGGCAACTCGAGTCGCGGTCACGGAACTTCCGAGAAATGTTGGGCCCCACGGCTCCCCAACTAGCCAAACCCACCCCCCATCTAGAGAATGGGAAATTATAATTAAAAAATTTATATATTATATTATTTCCTAGCCTTGGCCTTATTGTCACGTTCCTTGAGATGGTGGCAGCTTGCTGCTGACGTGGATTGGGCCCCACCAATCACCCACAACAAATATTTAATTGTTATTTTCTTATTCTAAATTTCCTCTTCCCCGAATTTCAAAAAAGAACCACCGAAATTTATTTTCTACTGTGGCCTCGGTCAAATTTCACCCCGTCAGGCCAGCAGTTAAAAAAGGAGTGAAATTGAAAGAAAAAAAACAATATTTTCAAAAACAATAATTAAATCGCATGAAACGCTAGCGAAAAGTGGCAGAACCACCTCCGACTTTATTCTCCAACCCCCACGCGCCTCTGGCGGAGCGTTAACATGTCAGGGCACCATCAAAACCCACGAGAAAAGAAAAAAAAAAGACAATAACAAATTATCCAGCGTGGCAACGTCTTTATCCTGACGTGGCCTCGCTAACCGTCTGCCACGTGCGAACCCGATCCCTCCTAACTCCTGCCTCCCTACTTATTCGTCGCGTTGGATCTTTTACCTTCCCGCAAAAATCCAGCCAGTAAAAGAGGAAATATCTTCCCTTCAAAGATAGTAGGGAAAGGGGAAAGATAACGTCACGGAGCCGTCCCGATTTTGCCAACCTTACGTGGCACCCACAGGCATCTAAACACAAGTGTTTAGTTGATTAATAATTTTTACTTTATTAATAAATAAATGAGGGTGAGAGACCCAAGTGGCCACGTCAGAAAGAATCGTGGGTCCCACTGGAGGTCGCTTAAAATGGGTTGACCCACCATAATTGATCCGCTTTCTGCCTCGCTTTGTCGCCTTTTTCCTATATAAAGAATGCCCTGCCGAGAGAGAGAGAGAGAGAAGGCGTCGGAGTTGGAGAAGGAGACGGGAGAAGAAATTGAATGAAAACCAGGATTTTATTTCGGAGGGAGAAAAAGAAAAGGAATTTACGAATTTCATTCCTTCGCTACCGTAAAATGATGCGATTACGACACGTGGACCGGATTGTTTCCTCGACGTCATCGGGAGTCACCGTGGCTGCCTTCGCCACCGCGCACTGCGGCACCGGACCAGTGCCTCTATATAAGAACAAGCTCAGCCGTCAAACAATACTTCCAAAACCCGAGAGGGAGGAAACGTGAGTCTGAGAAAGAAAAGAAAAAAAGAGCCCTTCGGTTTCCCATGGGGTTTTTGCAATTAGGAATAGAATAGGTGGTGGTGGAGAAATATCAAATACATACGAGGGTGATGTAATGTATAGCATATGATTGATAATTAGTTTGGATTCTCGACTCAACCGAGTGAGTGAGTGAGTGAGTGATCAATACGGGTGACATTTGTTTCTCTCAGTGTCGTCGTCGTCGTCGTCGTATCTATAAATACATGTTATTGTGACGTAAAAAGACGTGTTTTTTGTTGACGAATACAGAAACATATTGATAATAACGAATACGAGATCAAACACAGACACCGATGTTTACGTGGTATCCCTGGATAACCAGGACTAATCCACGGAAGAGCTTGAACGCTCTTCAGGCTACTGATTTACTGAGATGTGATGAAAACCGTGTACAAGATGATATATCGGCAGAACCCTCTTCACCTCTATATATCTATGATCGAAACCCCTAGGTTAGTTTCAGCACTCTCACGACTAACCTAGCTTATGCATGGGCTTGCATGACCATTACGTGTGGGCTTAATTATCAATGGGCCCCACGTATCATACATCATTAAATACACAAATCACCTACAGCTCACATAATCCGCAGCCCAAATATGATCATCATTCAACATCCTCCCCCAAATTGATGCCGATCTCGAAGCATCAATTTGTTTCCCAGATACCAATGCCGGCTTGTGGAGAAGGCCTTGGTGAAAAGATCTGCAACCTGCTCCTCGGTCTGAAGATGATGAAGTCCGAGAGTTCCATCACGAACAAGATCACGGATATAATGTACATGGATCTCTATATGTTTGGTGCGATCATGCAGAACCGGATTCTCCGCAATACGAATCGCACTCGTGTTATCAACATATAGGTCCATAGGAGTAGGACAAGCAATGCCAAAATCAGATAGGAGCCGACGTAGCCATACCATTTCAGAACCAACCTCCGACATCGCTCGGTATTCAGCTTCAGTAGAGGATTTGGACACCTTATCTTGTTTCTTACATCGCCACGATATATAAGCACCACCAAACCGCACACACCATCCTGATGTAGACCGCCGTGTATCAATGCATCCTGCAAAATCAGAATCCGAAAAAGCAGAAATCTTAGGAGTTCCGTGAGATGGAAACAAAATCCCGACCTCCTGAGTTCCTTGGAGATAACGCAATATGCGGTGCACAGCTGCAAGATGATCAACACATGGAGCAGTCATAAACTGACTGACTGCTTGTACTGCATACGAGATATCTGGTCGGGTAGCTGAAAGATATATAAGACTGCCTACAATGCTGCGATACTGAGACCCATCCTTCAGACGTTCTCCTGAATCCTTTTGCAGTTTCAGATTTACTTCCATAGGAGTCTTCACTGGCTTACAATCAATAAAGTTATGATCATCCAGAAGATCAGTAATGTACTTCCGTTGACTGAGCAGAATTCCTTGATCATTGCGACTAACCTCTAGACCAAGGAAGTAAGAGAGAGTCCCGAGATCCTTTATACTGAATGCCTGTTTTAATCCTGCTTTTAGCTGAGATATTCCGTTCGAGTCAGTACCAGTAATAACCATATCGTCCACATAAAGAAGAAGAACAACAATACCAGTAGAAGTAACCTTCATGAATAGAGAAGGATCATTAAGACTTTGACGGAATCCCAGCTGAACAATGGTTGCTTGAAACTTCTCAAACCAGGCCCGCGGCGCCTGTTTAAGACCATAGAGAGACTGATGTAGCAAACAGACTTGATCTTCACGACCGACAGTGTATCCCGGTGGACGTTCCATATAAATCACTTCTTCTAAATCACCATGAAGAAATGCATTCTTCACATCAAGTTGATACAGAGGCCAGTTATGTAATGCTGCAACGGCAAGTAAGGTTCGAACTGTAGACATCTTGGCCACAGGAGCAAATGTCTCATTATAATCCACCCCATGCTCCTGTGTGTAGCCAAGAGCAACTAACCTGGCCCTGTTACGCTCCACTGACCCATCAGAACGAACTTTAATAGCGTAAACCCATCTACTGCCAATGGTAGGAGGACAAGGAACCGGGCGATCTACCACAGTCCATGTTCGATTTGCTTCTAAAGCTCCAAATTCTTCCTGCATGGCACGATCCCATATGGGATTTCCTCGGGCTTGCTTGTATGTAGTAGGGACAAGTAATGTGTCCACCCCATGAGCTACGTAGTCCTCATGACTAGGGGGAGGAACCCCTTTTGTGGATCTAGTGGAACGCCTAAGTGGTGGCTGGACAGGTGGCGGAGAAAAGCTGGCTGGAGAAGAATCCAAGTCGCTGCTGTCGGAGGATGATGCGCCTGGGGACAAGTCAAAAATGCTGCCACCTGAGGATAAAGCCGAACCTGTAGCACTTGATGAGGAGGAAGACAGACCGTGTGGGGAAGGGGGAACATCAAGATCATTGGGCAGGAGGTATTCATCACCATCAACATCATCAAAAATTGGTAAGGGTTTGGAAGTACCCAAAAACTCATCATCAGACACGGATTTGGATGAATGGAACATTTGGTGTTCAAAAAAGATAACAGAAGTTGCTATACGCATACGCTGCCTCGAAGGATCGTAACATAGATACCCTTTATGAACACTGCTATATCCTAGGAAGACACAACGAGCGGTTTTAGAGGTCAGCTTAGAACGTTCACGTGGAGGGAGAAGAACAAAACAGAGACATCCAAAAACTCTAAGACGGGAATAATCAGGATGATGACCATAGAGAGCATAGTAAGGACTAGTCTGTTTTAGAACAGGAGTGACTTGATAATTAATAAGTTTCACAGCTGTCACTACTGCCTCAGGCCAAAAACGACTAGGAACAGAGGAAGCAAGTAAGAGAGCTCGAGTGAGTTCCATAACGTGTCTGTTTTTCCGTTCAACTAGACCGTTCTGTTGAGAAACTCCTGGACATGACATTTGGCTTAAGATACCGCGAGAGCGATAGACATCATGTAAGGGACCGGAGCTGAACTCTCCACCAGGATCAGATCGAATGATTTTGACTGTTCGATCGAATTGAGTTTGCACCATATCAAGAAATTCTATGGTCACAGAACGAAGATCTGATTTTAGACGAAGAAGGTAAATCCATGTATACCTGGTGGCATGATCAATGAACAGGGCAAAATATCTATAACCAAGACGGGATATAGTAGGAGATGGTCCCCAAAGATCAGTATGGATAAGATGAAAGGGTTCTTTAATAACAGTAGTGCTAGAAGGAAATGAAACACTAGAAGTTTTCGCTTCAACACAACTGGTACAAGAATGATGTCCAGAAAATCCAACAGATTCTTTTCCCAAAAGAGATTGTTTAAACATGGAAGACAACCGAGCTGAATGGGGATGCCCTAAACGAGCATGCCAAAGTTCCCACACCTTGTTGGACAAACTAGAAAACACTGGATTCATAGCAGAGAGAGTTTTTGTAAACTGACACGGACTACTGACAACCCTAGACACACACTGAATTTTAGAAGGTAGACTCAAATGAGATGTCGATGATGAACTATCCTGGAGCTCCTCCAAATGAAAAATCCTCCCTTGTTTACTCCCCCTTCCGATCTGTCTCCCCGTCTTCATGTCCTGTATAACACAACCAGTAGGACCAAATATAACAGAACAACCTTGCTCAGTAAGTTGTCCGACTGAAACCAAGTTTGGAACTAATGCAGGAACATGTAGAGTATGAGATAAATGTATATTTGATGACTCTACATTACCCACTCCTTTTACTGTCAACTTATCTCCATTGGCAACTGTCAACCCCGCATGATTAATAGGCCGAATATTATATAAAGCATGTCTATCATGGGTCATATGATTGTAGCATCCGGAATCAATTAACCAAGGGTTACGTTTTGCTTTACCTTGAAGTGCAGAGAGAGCAGTGCTAAAAGCAGTAGGAAGGGAGCTTTGTAATGCTGCGACAGCCTGCACAAGCTGCTCCAGCTGGGCAGCCGTGGTATTTCCTCCTAGGCCACTCCCTGATGCGCTACCATTCACTTCCCCAACCACATGAGCTGGCCGATACCCTCGACCTTGAGTTCCACGACCATTTCCAGGTGGCGGTGCATTCCCAGACCAGCGTTCAGCATTCCTTTGTTGTGTACGACATTCTAGAACGATGTGACCCATTCTCTTACAGTATACACAGTAATTCCGTCGACGACAATGTTTCACCAAATGCCCTTTTTCATGACAATGGTGACACTCAAGTTCCTCATTAGGAACTCTGCTATTAAATTGAGGTCTAGTGACAGCCAAAACATGAGAATCTCGGCCAGTACCTGATCGCGCCGGGATTGCAGAAGCCGCGACGATCGTTTCTCCTTCTCTTGGTCGCATATCGAACTGAGCCTGTGTCCTTAGTCGGGTTTCCTCACGCACAAGGCTGCTAATTACTCCATCAAAGTTCAGCTGCTCACGATTAAGGATCGTGGACCGAACAGACTCGAATTCCGGCCTTAAACGCATGAGAAATTGCAAGACCCTTGTCTGTTGTCGTTCAGCTATCATGTCCGCCGTCAAGATGGCTTGTGGGCGAAGTGCTAAGTGCAACATATCCTCCTCTGTCCACATCTCTTGAGCCGCATTGAAATATTCCGTCACCGAGCGATCTCCTTGCTCCAAACGAGCAAGAGCTGTTTGTACTTCAAACTGCCGTGCCGCGTTCACCATAGAATAAAGCCCAGCAAGGTGTCTCCACATTCTATTAGCCGTAGGAAACAAACGGAGACTGAGACATGTTGACGGGTCGACCGATCTGAGAAGCCATGACCTGATCCGCGCATCATTTTGATTCCAAGTTGCCTTCTCCTGTTCCGTGACATTATCCCGATTTGGTTGAGGAATCGTGCCATCCAAAATTCCTAGCAATCCTTTCCCTTCCACAAATACTCGAAACTAAAATTCCCAGAGTGCGTAGTTCGACGAAGTGAGACGCACAGTTGGCCCTTCCAACTCAGCCGCTGTCAGCTCTGATACCATGTTGACGAATACAGAAACAGATTGATAATAACGAATACGAGATCAAACACAGACACCGATGTTTACGTGGTATCCCTGGATAACCAGGACTAATCCACGGAAGAGCTTGAACGCTCTTCAGGCTACTGATTTACTGAGATGTGATGAAAACCGTGTACAAGATGATATATCGGCAGAACCCTCTTCACCTCTATATATCTATGATCGAAACCCCTAGGTTAGTTTCAGCACTCTCACGACTAACCTAGCTTATGCATGGGCTTGCATGACCATTACGTGTGGGCTTAATTATCAATGGGCCCCACGTATCATACATCATTAAATACACAAATCACCTACAGCTCACATAATCCGCAGCCCAAATATGATCATCATTCAACATTTTTATGATAGTTGTTTTGGTATACGAATGCTCTCGGGGGGTCGACAATATGGACTGAATGTAAGGACGTGATTGGTGGCAGTAGATGAGACGGGTGGTGTTATCGTGTTCATTAGGGAAGTTTTAAGCTATTTTTTGCTTTGTTTCGGCACATTCCCTTTCACTTTAGTTCTCCAATGTATAGCTAGGTGGCACGCCTCGGATAAAAAAAGTGATCTCTCATCGGTCGGTCGGTCAACATATGTTCTACAATTATCCACGTCAATCTACCAAACCTTAACACATGTTGAAGTGACGTATATTCCTTCGTTATACCTACCAAATTCGGCTAATTTTTATGTGTTCCCGATAAAATACTATTTTTGTGTTCTTGAAAAGCATAGCTGCTATAAGTAACACTTACATTTGTCAATGGTGGTCACTCATATTGTTGGATAAACATTGATAAGACTATATTGGTAGATAGGCAACACTGTTGATTAAATAAAAGTTAGGTCGCATAATAACAAAAAATTATTTTATTAGTTACCATAAGAAATGTCATTATTATATTAAAATTTTGTAGACGAACACGATCAACTTAATTGATCGAATACAAAGAGTATTAAAAACAGATAAATATGCTGTTTTGATAAGAATTAACTTCCTTAAATTATCTGCTAATATTTTGAGCCTCATTATAGACCCAGTCAAACTTGATGGTTTTCATTTTTCAATGAGAGATGGGATACAGGACCATCGCTTCCTTCAATTCAAAAATAATTATTAGTATTAGTAAGAATTTTAAACAAAATATTGAAAAGAATCAATTCACAGTTTTTAAAAAAAATTAGATTTGGTTAAATATTGGTGGTACTTGGTAGCGAGGTGGTGGGCTTTGAGGTTTTCAGCTCCCAACACTAAAGTCTAAACACAAAAGCAAAACATATTTAATTTCCATTTGTTGTCTGCTTATGTGTATTGATTATTTAATTGTCATCTTTATTCCCTTGTAAATGCAATTATTGTACTAAAAAATAAGGAAGTTCCATTAATTTCTACAATTAATTGTTAATATATTGTCTTTGCTCCTTTAGATATGGGTCTGATATGGTCAATAATAACAATATTGTTTGTGAACAATAATCAGAGTTTATTAGTTACACTTACACATAAAACCATATTTAATTTCATGGAAGTATAATAATGTGTGGCTCAAGTCCAGCTCTCTCTTTTATCGGGACAAAGAAGTTTAATCGAAGTTTTTGTTTGAGGAATGGGAAAAAAGCCCAATAAGCCCAAAGGTATTGTCAAAATTCTAACAAGTGTTATGTATGGCAAATAAATAGGGGTGCAAATTAGATTAAATATTTTTTTTTAAGGGTGCAAAGACACAACTATCTCTTACACTATGTTTTTTTAGAGCGGAAAACATGGGGAAGGAAAGAATAGGAAGGAAAGTGCAATTTTCGATAAACTTTCCCCTGTTTTCAAAGGTGAGCACAGTAATCGGGTGAAGGAAAAGGGGGGAAAGTTTCACTGTGGAACCCTCTCCCCCAAATCGGAGAGAAAACGCTCCACTAACTCTTTCTCTTTCATCTTTTTATTTGCCAGGTTAATTAATCGTTCACTTTCCCTTTTTTATTTGCTACCCCTCTCCTCGCTCCTTGCTTTTTCTTCTTCTTCGTTCTCCCTCAAATGCGAACCCAAACTAGAAACAGAGATAGACAAACTGGAAGTCAGCTTGGCAGATTTGCTTCGTCGGAATAGTCTCGGTCGGATTGCAGCTGCCGACTAGGGGAGCGTTGTTGTTGGCGCCGGCGTGAGCACACGGCGGCAGAAGGGGGGGGGGGGGGGGGGGGGTTAGAAACAGGGAGATTAAAATTGTAGGTCGGAGAATCGTAGAGCGACAGATAGTTGGAATCGGGCGAGCGCAATTGGGATCAGATCGGGCCGGGCTGGGCGTTCGGGGTGAAGAATCCGACCTGGCGAACTCTGGGAACTGGGAGTTGATGGCCGAAGAATCGGAGAGCGGCTGAGAGCTGGAAGCCAGCAGCGCCACCATTAACCTACAATTAACCTCACCGACGGTTAACCGGGGGAACGAGAGTCTGCGCTAGTGGGGGATTGGCATTTTTTTCTTTTCTTTTCAAGAATGTTCCTCTGGACAAAAGTGAGACATGAGAAAGAGATCCAGCATCCAGTGGGATGGGGAAAATATATTCAATTTGCTTTTGTACTCACACATATTATTATCTCTAACCCAGGCACTAATAACATGTAATAGATTTAATTGAGAGTGTTGAGAGTGTAATAGATTTTAATTGATTTAGCTTGTTTCGGTATTTGTTCATCAATTATGTTTAATGAATCAATTCATTAGGTAACCATATAACTAATATCATTAGGTAATTAGTTATCTCAATAATAAAATAAGGTATATATACGTTATGATAATATGTTATCTCAATAATATCTTATATAATTATATTATAAATGATGTTATCAAGTAGGGATGTCAATTGAACTCGGACACAAGTGCGATCTGCATATATTTATGTACACTTAAGTTTAGATGTTATGTTGACGAATCAATAAAATAGTGAACAAAATTTTAGTAATGGATTGACAAGTTTTTTCAAGCGATCTATTTTAGATTTGTAATGGTGAACAAATTAGCAAGTATTAATAACAAATTTAATTCATAATCGATAATTAATTGAAATAATAAAACACACAATTATATTATTTTAGTATTACATTACACAATACAATAACATACTTATCATATTTCTCAATATACTTTTTTTCATCTCAAATTTTCTTTTTCTTTACATTTACATAACCAATAAAATAATATATTCATCACACTTCTCAATACACACTTTCTTTTCCACTTTCCTCCATGAAACAACATTTTCCTTTCAATTTCCTTCACCTCCAAATCTCCCCTCCCCTCCTAATTTTCCTTCACCTCCCCTCCTTTTCCTCCTTTCCTTCGGAAACATAGTGTTACTCATCAAAGAACATATGATAAACCCACCACCAACATCATACAAAAGTCAATGGCAATATTTGAGTTAGAAGGACAATAATGTGAGCACCTATTAGTAAGTCATGATGAGTGACGTAGGCAGGATTTGATACCAGGGACAACTAATTATTGGAAATTATATTTGTAATGTATCATATAAAAAAGAATTTATGATATTATCGCTTATACCACTTAAAATATTGAGAATTTGTTGTGGAAATGTAGGCAACGAGAGATTATAATTTAGTTTCGTGGGTGTTCATTTAATACTAATTAGTCTTTGGTAAATTTTCATAATTTTTTTTTGTTTTTATTGTAAGTTGATGGAAAATATGAATTTTCTCTCCCAAACAACTAACTCGAGTAGTGATGGCAACAGGGTGAGGCGGGGGCGGGTACCTCAATATCCATGCCCGGCCCCAGGATATAACGATTCGGGGTGGGTAATACCCGCGTGGGTACGGGACGGGGCGGGTCAACCCATTCTTACTTATTATTTGAAAAAATACACATAAAATTTTACTTTTTACGATAAAACGAAGGGAATAACAGTTTATAAATGAGAAATAATGATAATAGAATGAGTAATTGAGTCTAACTAGTTGAAGACCAAATCTAACTAGTTGAAGACAACTCAAAATAGGAGAAATATAAATAGATAATGTAAGAAATTGACATATCATAGGCCGAGAACAGGGTAGGGCATGGCGGGTCGGAAGTAGATATCCATGTCCCGCCCCACGCTACTACGGGTCGGGTAATACCCGCCCCATTGCGGGTCAGGTCGGGTAATACCCGGCGGGGGCGGGTTCAAATTGTCATCTCTAAACTCGAGGTTGCAATTGAGTAGAGTAGTTACTTCCAAGGATTGAAAAATCATAACGTACCGGCGTTTCAACCAGAAAAACCTCTTTCTGAAAGAGAAATCGATAGGCGGTGTTTAGCGGTATGAAATGGTTGAATCACTATTTCAGAATAAAATACTCCGCAGCTAACTTTTTCGGTGTACCCTCAAGTACAAATTTTCAATTCTTGCTATTCTAAATGAGTTTCATTTTCAAGTTTTTTTTTTCTTGTTAAAATGACAAGGCAAGGGGTGCCATTAAATCCCCTTCCTCCATGCTAGCTCCGCCCCTGGTCATGGCATATACGTGCTAGTCTATCTAGTAGTGGATCCAGAACATAGTAGAACCTGGGACGCATTTGAATTGATTATATAATGATTATCACTTGGCCGAAAAAGAGACTGAGAGGGCTAGAAGCAAGCAAGTCTCGTTTAGCATACTAGCTCTTGACCTAGAAGAGCGTTGGGTCATGGTCTGGGCAGACCCTCCCCTAGATCCGCAACTGAGGTTATCAGCTAGAAAATTGGCCTCCTACTAGACGTGGATGACTCTTTTCTCCTAGTTTTCCTTTTGGAGCGAGTATCATGCTCGCATGTTGGTGGTCGGTTGGTCTGTAAGCATAAAGTATGTGAACAGTTGTCCCTAAGTCAAGTTGAAGCTCACTTTTTTGGTATCCAGTATCCCACGCCATTTGGAGTCCCTTAAGAGTGCCTCATAGCTCAGTGAATGTACAGGTGAGCGAGTCGGGCGAATGATGAGTCACGAGGTTCCGCCTATATCGTTGAATAACAAGTTGAAGGCAGCGACGAGGGGATTGAAAATCAGCAGAATAACTAATTAAGGGTCTAGATCTGTTAGTATTGTTCACGCGAAGATACTGGATGAGCGAGTGAGGGAAGATAGGCATGTTTGAGATTGAAATAGAGAGTTGGAAGTAAGAGACGTATTTCAACTAAGGGATATGAGGAGAAATAAACTCTAATTAAACTAATCCTTAAATACAAAGCTACATCACAATTAGGAAAAAGGACCTATTTTTAGTCCAAGAAGACGAAAAGGAAGAAAAAAAAAATAGGATTGTCGAAAAAACGAGGAAGAAGAAAGGAAGAAAATTGCGAATTTTCGTCGGCCTCATTCATTCACGATCGATCACGAGACTCCCCCCTAAAATACTGTCACTTGTACAAATTTTGACGGTGCAATCTTTTTTGAATTATTACGAGAAAATAAAAACCAAATGTTTTTTTTTAACTTCTGATTATAAAACATGACAAGAAAGTCCACAAAGTGGGACAAAACGTGTGGCATCACACAGTAACTTTCACTCCCACTTAGTTTAATGGTTTCTCTTTCTTATCTTTTTTAATTATGATTAGCATTACGTTTGAACAACAAAACTAAGCACTATTATACTAATCCTATTATGTTAATTATCAAGTCATCAGGATAATTAAATAGATTAATCTCCACTGATAGCGATCTTATCTATGCATACATACACCTCACTTGTCATAATAACCCAATAAAATACAGACCAACCTAACCTCCCTGATCAGTCTTTAGCTTTCATTTGGCTCCTTATTGGTTGATTAAGTAATTAAGTAATAAAGAAAGGAATTTGATTAAATTATTTTTATTATATATCCCCATCCTATTCTATTCCAGATTTAACTCTTCCTCATTTTCTTAATCAAAGATCGCATTAGCAACTCCCCACCCACCCCTAACAGTCTAATGACAGACGATTAACGCGATATTAGCAACCCCTCCCCTTTAATCAGAGCCTAAGCAATCACCAAACATTATCAATCTTGATCAAATCTTAATATCACCTCATAAAAACAAACACGATTCAAATCCTAAAGGCGTCGTTTGCTTGTGGGATTTGGATGTTGTATTTGATATCCAAATATCAAGCATCATGTATTTGATACAAAAACATTGTTTGTTGAGGTATACAAATCCGTGGGGTCCACGGATTTGGACATTTTTTTAGCTCCAAATCCGTGGACCCCACGTATTTGCAAATACTACCACATCATGGAAGGCAAAATTTTGAGACCCAAATACCAAATGAACTAAAATCCATGATAAAAATTCAACTAAACAAACAATGTTATCTTTCAAATACAAAATGCAATAAATCCATCATAAATCCAAAAGGTTTTCAAATCCTCAAAACCTTCATTTTCAAATCCAACAAGCAAACGTTAGTGGCAAACAATTGTCTCTATTATTGGTGAATCGTTTAGTACCGACCGACGACATATCATTATTTACCTCGTATAATCATATTGCATACTCCTTCTGTCCGTAATAAATAAAAACTACCCACCAAATACTAATGTCTAGGGGGTGTGCAGCGAGTTGGTTCGTACTGGACTACACCAGACCAAAACCGATGCTTGGGCCGAGAATACCACACCGGATATATCGTGGTCCAGTCATTGGTCCCATAAAATTTAAAGATACTTCCGAATTGACATTTGGGCCAGACCAAATTGAACCAAAATAACCCAAATGCAATATTGATCCGACACTTAATCTTAAAATATCTTTCACTATTAAACCGCAATGAACTAACCATTAAACACCCCCTCCCAATGCCTCCCAATCCTACGAGGCATATTAGGGATTCTAATATGTCAAACTAGTTCTTGTATTATTATATGACCTGACCATGGGAAGAGGAAGAATTGGTGTTACAACCAAGAGAGACAAATTAATAAAATAGTATCCATCCAAAATATTATACTAACCTCTAATTGACAATAAAATAAAACAATAAGATTTCACTATTATTATACATATATATATTTTTTTAAGCGGGGGGGAGAGACCAATTATGTAAGTATGTGTACTGAGTTGAGTTCAAATCACAAGATCCAAGCTTTTATTATTATCCAGCTTTACGACAAAACAACGCTTAAATAAGGGAGCTCAGCTGCTGAGCCCCTCTTTTTCAATTGGAGGAAAGGGCTTTTGGGGAAGATGTGAACACGTGGATCGCCACGTGGATATGTGACCCCACGTGTTATCTTTCAAATTTTTCATTTAATTTTCCTGTAAAGAAGTGAAAAAAGGTTGATTAACCGTGGTTTAATTGTAATCAAATAGTCTAATTAATAGTTAGGGTTTGTTGTTGCTAACCCACTGGCCACTGGGGAGAGTTTTGAGTTTTGATTCAGTGAATCAACCGGTAGTCCCGTAGGTGGCGAAGTGATGAACTGATGTGGGAGGCTCGGTACTTTGCCTTAATGATTCGGGCAGCAAGCGACTCCTGGCGCTTATAGAGATTCCACAGCTGTTTCGCGAGCATAGCCGTGTTGAAACCACCTAAATCGCGCAGTCCCATACCCCCTTCTTCCTTTGGCTGCATGAGCTCTTCTCTACTGATCCAATGAGCCCTCCTTTCCGACCCACGCTAGCCCCACCAGAAATTATTGATTAACTTATTTGCTTCCGCCAGGACCCCTTCTGGAATTCGAAACACGGACATCACATAAGTAAAAATGTGCTTATGCTACTGACTTAATAAGAACTTCCCGGGCAGCTACTGAAAGGGTGCGCTCCTTCCAGCCTTTTAATCTCTTCCTCAGGCGATCCAAAGCTTCTGTAAAGAGCTCTTTTTTCGACCGGCCAGCCACTGTTGCCAGCCCTGAGTATTTCTGGTGTTTGTCCACCCTCTCCATCCCCAATATCCCACTCACCATAAGCTGGTTATGCATCTTCACATTTTCACTGAAGGTCACCGAGGATTTGGGGAAACTTATCATCTGGCCAGATTTGAATTGAAATCCCTTACAGCCTATTTGAATACAATTTCGGAAGAAATGGAAATGGAATTTCATTTTCATTTTTATTTTTATAGAATTCTATTTCCAATTCTAGTGTTTGGTATAATTCTTACAACTATGAAAATGAATTGCACTTTTAATCATAATAAATAATGTAATATGTTTGTTTTATTTTGAGAAATGAAATACGAATGAGAGAGAAAAAGAGTAAAATGATAATGGGTCAATAAAATAATAAAAAATATTGATGGGTCCCACTAATTTCATCTCCATTCTCTCAATTCATATCACTTTTGATAGGAATTGTAATTCCCAAATTTTAGACCCAAATGAAATTCAATTTTCAACCTTTTTATTAATCCAAACATGATACATGGAAATGGAATTCCAATTCCTTACTTTTTTGTCAATCCAAACAGGCTGTTAATACTAGGGATGACAACAAAACCCGAACCCACGGGTACCCACCCAACCCAATCCGGTCAACGCGGGTAAAACCCGTGTTGACGGGTTTTGGGCCGGGTTTGGGTTTAAACCCGCTACACTATTCATCGGGTCAGGTTGGGTTTGGGTTTATGTAAACCCGCCCCATAGATACCCGCTCACACACATATAAATACTTTCCCGGTATATTTAATATTCTAAATATATCTTCCTTAAACAACTAATGTTCTTTATGTTTGCGGAGACATGTATAATTTGTTCTATTTAATTGTTTAGAATGAAGTTGATATTATGAAGTGGAGAGTGAAGAAACTTAGTTGACGAGGAAGAAACTTTCAATTAATCTTATTGTTTATAGATATTTATCTTTAATTTTGAACAATTTGTATTGATCATTTGCGGTTTGCTTGTATGCTCCAGATTGGTGTTTATTGTATGATTAATTTGTATGAGAAAATTGATATTAAAACCGGCGTGACACCACTGGTATGACCGGCATGATCGATATACGAATCTCTAAGTAAAATGACATTATTTTAGAGAATTTAATTGATAAAAATTATTTTATTATTTATTTTATGAGTATAAAAGTTAAATATTGATGTTATTTGTAGGATTCAAATATAAATGTTTAGGTATTGACGTTAAATGTCATGTTTAAATATGAGTATTTATAATTTTATTTGTAATATTGACCGATATGAACCGGCACAAACCGGTATGTGCCACCGGTTGAACCATTCCACTTGCTAAACCGGCACATTGGCATAAACCGGTTTGACAACCTTAGACTAATAGTAATGGTTTCTGTATACAATGTTGCTCATTATTATGGGTTAGTATAGTTTTGGTTGTTGTTTCTTCTCTTACATTGTTGATAACAATATAATATATTTCGGCAATTGGCTATCGTGGATAACAAATGATAATAATATGTTTATTAATTAATGGATGCTTACACTAACATAATGCACCTAAAAATAGGGTCTCAAGGAAATGGGAATAAAAAAGCAAAAGCAGAAGCAACGCAGGAAATTGTCATTTCGAGATATATATCTGGATGGAAGGGAAATGAAAAATAATAAAAATCCATTCCCCTTTTCCAACTTGGAGATGGCCAAATGGGCCGCACAGTGCAAAGTTCGGTGAGATCGAAACCTAATAGATCCTCATAGATTTGATAGGTTGTGGGCCTTACCAAAGGCCTCTTCAAAAGCCCGTGTCAAACCTTCGCAGTGGGCCAAAGGCCCGGGATCGTAGGAAAATAATGATCATCGCTTCATTGCTCTTATTTTTAGGGATGTTCAAATGGTAACCGTGGCAATAACCAAACCAATTATGTATAAATTTCATTAACTATGGAATAAAATATTTTAACCAAACCGTCCAAATTAACACGAAAATCAAATTAACCAAACCAAAGTTTAATTTGTTTGGTTAATCGGATAATTGAATTAACCAAATAACATAGTATTACATGAAAACAATTATTCTGTTAATGAATAAAATATAACCATATGTTATTACTATCATAAACTATCATTATATATAAGCAATAGTAATAAGACTACAACCTAAAAAAAAAAAAGACTAACCATCCATGATTATCATCATCATTCACCATCTCCGCACCTAATATAGTTAGCTTACAACAAACCCTAACATAAATATTAAATACAATTCAATATCACTCATCAAGAAGTTAAAGCTCTCCTACAAAACACTTAAACCATACATAGTTTGAGGTTGTTGTCACAGTATTGTACGTAATCCTAAAGTCTAGTAGCTGTCCAAAATGTTTTGGTTTAGTAAATAGGCAGACCCATTTAATTTTTGACCCATAATGCTTTTGTTTGTTGGGCACATGGAAATAAAATAGGGAATCACGAAAGTTTGGTTTGATTGGTTGCATGGAAGTATAAATAATTTTGTATATTAGGTGTATCATCAATTGGTTTCATTGGTTAGCAGTGTTGAAACCAAACCACCTAAACCAAATAAGCTAAATTGTTTAACCAAACCAATTATCCAAATTAACCAAACCAAATTAACCGAATGCTACCGGTTAATATGGTTACCACGGTAACCAATCCGTTTGAACACCCCTACTTAGTTTTATGGGTCTAAAAATTAATTGATTGAAATTATAATTTTTGTAATTTATTTGTGCTGACATGCCACCGATCTAGCGCGTTGAGTGTAATAATTTAATTTGTATTCCAGAAAAGAAAGGTCAAAGTAGTATATTTGTGAAAAAAGTTCGGGGCAGATTAAGGTATTAACTTTAAACAAAATTTTGATGAAGATAGTGGGAATGATTATTTTGTTACAATTTGAGAATTATAAGTAGACATTTCAGTACATTTTGATTTTGTTACATTGAATTTACGCTATTCCTTTTTTTCTTTCTAATCTACATATATGCCAAAACTTCAATATGTTCAAACAAGTGTAATTAATAAAAGTGTTTTTAGCCATTGAATTGAGTTTTGTTTTAGTATGTTTAGATAGTAAGTTAAACAGAAGAAATAGAATACATATCACATATCAATATATCATCATCCTCATCATAGCACGTCGGAGGCGCGATGACGGCATAATGCCAAAGGGAAGAAGGGGATGGTGTCTGTCTGTCCATCATATTTCCATGATTGGGCTGCCAATATCTTTGTCGTGTTCCAGACCTAACAACGCCATACTGTTTGGCTTTGGCCCCTAATGGCTTGTTTTCAACGACACTATTAAGGTTTCATGATGATTTATAACGCACGCAAAAAAAAAAAGTGCCAGATTAGCTGGGAGGACAAGGATCGATGCCAGGTCAGCTACAAAATTAAAACAATATGCATTTTGCCACATCGGATATAAATTTTACTCATTTTTTATTTCTGGCTTGCTTGACTATGTGGAAGATGAATGTTTGAAAGAAAAATAATGTGATAAGTGTCTTCCTGCCATAAACCTTCCTTTCTTTCAACACACGATTGATGCACATTGACTTAGATTGATTGCTTGGAACAATTATACCGAGACTCAGATTCACGACTCTTTGAACACGGTTTGTGACCATGTCTAATCTGTGATGAGTGTATCTCTCAGAACTGACACAAGTCCTGAAGCGTAGTTCTCGCCGATAGGCTTGGCCTCGCGTCATGTTGTGCCACATCTTGGTGAGCCGCTCTTGGGGTGCCTCATCGTGTTGTGGTGATCGTCTCACGCCGCCACGTTGGCTTAGGGCTTGAATAGGAGCCAACTCATCCATCTGAACCCGTGCCCTTGCCCAACCAGCTCGATCGAGACTTAGCGTCTTTGTCTCTTTGGTGTGCGGCCTCGTGACCATGAGACATTTTCTTGTTGGCATTGGCTCTTGATGAGAATGTCATGTCTTGTTGACTCGTGCCCATGTATGAGTGGTAGTTAGCGACTCGGGATTAAAAAAATCTAACGAGACAGAGCCCAACTCACAATAATTTAATTGTTACGATGAACCTCGTAATATCAATGCATTAGATGTCTTGAAACAATCAATGCGATACAAAGTAAGTTTTAGGGTTAATACTTAATACCTTAGTTTGAGCTGGACTTTACACTAATGAACTAATCTGACATGATTTTTGAAAATCCCTATCATGTCCAAATTTTCAAAATAATAGGACAAATTTGGCGGTCAACAATTTTGACTGTTAGTTTAAATACCACACAAGCATAAAAAAAATTTAAAAATGGAAATTTTGAAAATTTATTCAATGTGTACTTTCATAATTATTTCAACTTTACATTAATATACTATTTTCATTTTGACCCAAAAATCTCAAAATACTTGCACCAACTCGGTTTCTAATTTGAATGTAAATACTTGATATTTTGTTTTTCAAAGTTGTCTTTTTTATGCATGATGCGGCACTAAGACTAATGGTCAAAGTTGTTGATCGTATAAGTTGACGATTAACTCACCATCCAGGCCGAACTGATCCAATTATTTTGAAATTTTTGACATGATAAAATTTGTAAAAAAAAAATTCGAGCCACAATAGTTCATTAGTGCAATATCCATACTTCAGACCAAACTACCGTATCAACCTAAATTTAATTAGGTTTAAACAATTAGTTCGGAGAGACTCCCACTTTTGACCTATCTCTCAGCTCTACCATTGCGTGGGTTGATGCACATTCCTTGATCGGAATATTAATGGTATTTCACCATACAATAAATGGCCCAGCTAAATTTTCCATGCAATATTTGGAGGGATCCTAGTCTTCTTTCCTTCTGCCCATCCTTTTCTTGTTACAGTTTGTTTAGATATTTTAAGTTGTAACTCGCACTCCAGTCCTGTTCATAATCAACATTTGTATCTTCTCTCACTCCATGACTTGGCTGCTTGCAACTCGAAAGTGGGCGCAATAGTACACAGCAACCAAGTTGACAAAAAGTGGCGATTGTGATTTCCAATATAAAAAAGTTGTAAACTAGAGGAAGATTCAACATCTTACAAGATTAGTGAAACGAAAAGTGAAAGAAAATATTGTGTCGACATTTCAACAGCAGAATAATTAGCGTACAATGTTTGTTGACTGTACAAAAAAAAAATCCACTGTTTCAGACCAGAATGTGAACCCAGCCCAGAAATGAACATGCGCAAGTGGGCTCAGTGCGTTTCCGTTCATATGTCCGATCCATTATCGCTTCGACAAGGGATATTCCAGTTCGGCCTGCACTAGCTAAGCTGGCCCAAAGATGCTTATAGAAATGAGTTTTTTACCTTTTTTCCTCCCATAATGATCAAGAAATGAGTTTGGAATAAAGAGTTCCAACACAAAATGGTACAGAATTCCGGGAGCTGACCTGCCAAAAGTTTTGGGCTCAATATCCACTGCTGGCTTAAAGTTGATATGGGCTGTAAACCGGTGTGATTAGGGTGTGTACATGGGTCGCGTGGTTCGGGTTTAGCTATTTTAACCACTTATCTCATGACCTACGATTTTGAAAATACTAAATCCAAACCCGCCAAACAAAATTAAAACCCTACGGTTTGTATATAATTGGGTTGGCTCGGGTTGGCGATACTTTTAAGTAAAAACTCAACCCAACACAAAATGAACAATTATTCTACACCGTAAAATTATTATATAATTACTAAAACTTCAAACGAATAAATGTGAAAAGCATAAAAAATGTTGTTTGAATTTTAATAAAAGGCGATTTGCTTTAACATATGTCTGGTTTTTCACAAACATTTTTCAAAATAGGCACATAAACAAACATAACCATAAATCATAATATATTATTCACTTAAAATTGTATACAAGAAAAAGGATTATGTGAATCATAGCTTATATTAAATTTACGTCTAAATTTAAGTCGAAGTATGCATAGGTTACGTGAATCACAACTATGCTTATAAAAGATACGTTTATTTTTTTTGATAAAACACTCATACTAATAGTTGGGACACGGGTTGGGTCGGGTTCTACGCGTGTGCAACCCAAAATCCAAACTCAACCCAAAAGAGATGGGTTGTACAAAAAAAAAAAAAACCCTCATCCAACCTTAAACTTTAACTTTAGCGATAAATAAGGGTGAGTTGGGTTGGGTAGGACGAGTGGAACGGTTTGCGGGTCACTTTGTTCACCCCTAGGTGTGATAAGTGGAATAAATACGAGAAATATTAAATAGGGAATCACAATTTTTCTTCGTGGATAAAATTAGGCAATCAAAATACAGTGATTACCTACATGTATTGATCATTGAAAACAATGTAATTTTGTATTAATCTTAGATTCTTAGGTGCACATTAAGTTCCTCTTCAATTTTGTAAAAAAAAAAAAGTTCCTCTTCAATCAATAAGGTACGACCCATCTTAATAATCAGCGATGAAAATCAAATGTAAGAACTTGATTAAAAAATGTTGAAATTTACCTTAAAACTACTGCTACTAATAATAATAATAATAAAGAAATTTAGATAGAACATCCTATAATATAGCTAGCTGGCTTATCCGTTTATAATTTTCCACACCCGCCATTAATTCCTTCCTCTCCGTTAATAATCATCTTCTTATCCAAACACAAAGCCCAAAGGTGAAAAGGCAAAAAAGATAAAAGGAAAGGAAACAGAAAGTCCCCGTGTTAATCTTTCTTTCACAGGGATTCCATTTGTTTTGGAATGGCGTGGACATATCTCGACGACCAAAGTTTTGGTCAACCTTTTCATCTTTTGCATTGACCATATTTTGTTTGGATCAACATTGACTAAGTTTTTGTGTGCGGATGAACTATGAAGCCATTAAATCTAATCTATGTGTAAAGTGTAAACGAGTGGCTTTGTTTTTATTTACATTTCAGTTCCATATACTATTTATCCATTTTGGAAATTATTAAATATTTTCTGATACTATGGCTATATTAGTAACGTACTAATGTGTGAATGGTTATATTTATCCAACTTTAAACTCAAACCTTGAGTTAAAGAATTATATTTTTTAAAAACAAAATTATATTGTTTGTGGTATCAGCCCTGGTTAGATTAATATGTTGGAATGATCGATCATGGATGAATCAAAACTCTTAACTCATTTTTTAGACGAGATGCATAAAATTCTTGTGGATGGATGCATAATTTTCATGCATACTTTAGTATAAAAAGTGGCATCCATCGATCCTGTGGATGGATTCATAATTTCACGCATATTTTAATAATACGCGAGATTGTGTTTTTGAGGGTCAATCTACGACTCTGTTCCTATCATAGTATATGTGAGAAATGCGTAGTAATCAATCCAGAACTTGTCTTCTAACAAATGGTATAGAGAGGAGGATGGTTGAGGGTGTAGGGGATCGATTCTACTATGCAAGAAGGCAACTGTGAATCGGTTTCGACAAGAAGAGTCCTAGAGCTTCGATTTTGTTCCAATCCAAACTAAGTCCATGATTAAGCGCCCATAGCCACCCTTACAAACACAAAATCATCCATATAGAACCCTCTTAATTTCTGTGGTACACGGTATCTATGAAATATGGTCAAAATTCAATCGTCGAGGAAAAAAAAAAAAAAACGTGGCCAAATTCATTCATTGACTGTTAAGGGAATATAAGGGGGGAAATTGTCATCAAAATTTCCTCTCCTTTTGGATAAAGGGAGAAAATGCGACACATATCATATAACATATGACTCGGCAGATTTCAATACATTTTTTTTTCTCTATAGGCCAACTGTAAGGAAGTGGTTAAGTACCATATATGGGCCTGTATAAGATTCAACATAACCTTCTCCCAACAACTCGAGTTATTGGGACAGAAAAAAGAAGAGCCCAAAGTCACGCACTGCAGGTGATTGGATTTTGGGTCACCACTCCTTTACCAGCTATACGAGTGGAAATAAAAATGAGAATTGACGAATGAAACTGACCTGAACGAATGCTCAACATTGATCGATAAGACTCCATGGCAGGCCATAAAAATTTAACAGAGACATCCCTGTTCTCTTTAGTTTCACAATATGTACTTACATATATTCCTCCGAGTATTTCTACTATGCTATATAGTATTGGTGTTTTATATACAACTTAAAATTTGTACCATAACATTAAATGTATAAGTTTAGGTTGTACCATAAAGGAATTTGTATCATTATGTTATGGTATAACTTTACAACTTGAAGTTGTACCATCACATAAGGTACACGTTTAACTTGTACCATAAAAGAATTTGTACAAAAAGTACAGGTATGATCTAAAGTTGTACCATAACATTAAAGGTACAATTTCAAATTATACCATAAAAACAAAAACCTATAACACCAATACTATATAGCATTGTAAAATTCCTCATATTCTCCACATAGTTTCATCTCTCCACATAGTTTCATCTTCAAAGACACATGATCTTATTTTGAATTCTTCTCGGCACCAGAAGTCCAATCTTTCTGCTACAAGGATTTTCATGTCATTATTGTGATGATACAATGACAATACGCTATTCAGTTCATTACTATAAACCAATTGTCATAAATTTCTATTTCACACTTTCATGCGGATGCGATTATGTGCAACTCATCGAAAATAAGATTAAGACGAGAAAGTAAAAAAGAATAGAGAAGAATGTGTTCTCTTTAATAACAAGAACAGTTAAAATCTCTATTAGATTAGACTAGCTTATAACTCGATCCGTTAGCCGAAATATTCATATTTGATTGTTTATATTTTTATGTTACATTTAAGTCTATCAACCCGTTTAATTTTATTGACAATCCTTCGATCGAGATGATACATATAGAAAGAATATATAGATCGAACATTTGAAGAAATATAAAATGTATCATTGATCTCATTTTCATAATGATAATTAAGTCCCCGGTAAAATGTTATTGGTTAGTTGATTATCAAGAAAGATAGATTATAAAAGCTTACTGAAATTCCCTAACGAACCATAGATAGTTTGAAACTAAATCTTAAACCTCACAATCCTACATAAAGGTTCAATGCTTTCATTTTAGGAACAATATTCCACTAATCAAAAAGAAATAGAGAGTTATTGATTCAAGTCAACTATATGCTAACAACTCAGCTAAGAGGGGACCGTCACAACTTGAGAGCAAACGCCAAATTAGGGTTACCTCCAATATACTAATAGACTCGATCAAAGTAATAAGAAACAAAATTAGACACTCCTTCTCTATCAAAATTATACACTCCTTCTCTATCAGTACAAATTGAAAAATAAATTGAAAATGCAAGGACACAACACGTAGTAATAGAATTAGTTTCTTTCATGTTGGCCAATTACCAATTTACCTATAGTGAAAATTAAGGAGAGAGCAGTGATTTAAGAATTGAGAAACTATATGAAGCTCTGCTATGAAAATTGAAGTATCAATCACCATAAAAATACATACGATAGACTTAGTGGGCTTGCTAATCATGATGAAAAAGTCCTCAGATTTTCAGAGTGTCGCTTCGTGTATGTTTTGTGTTAAAAAAGATACAAAAAAAATTGTTTAATGTAATTGGTTGTGATTGTTGTCTTTATTTGAAGAGACATGGGTTCAAATCATGATATTGACATTTTTAATATGAAATAAATAATTAATTGTAAAGACAAAACTACCATTCCTACTTTCAATCTCGTATTTCGTGTGGAGATTATTATGGGTGAGTTCGGTTGAATTTGAAAGCTGTCTGTTTTGCTCCATCACAAGCAAGCAGCCAAAGGGGAAACAAGAAAGCAAGGAAGAAGACGCTTCTCATCGAATTGGTTTGCCTACACAACTATATATGACTCCATGAGGCAAAATCCTGTCGATCGGTTACATCTCCATGTGTTGGTGATACTATATCTTCAATGAAAATATCTATGCTATCTAACCTAATTAACCAATTTTTGTTATTATCATCATAATTATTACTAATGATTGTACGATTGTATTAAATAATGAGCTAGTTTGACGCTGTTATAGGTTTTAACAAAGTAATTTTTTTATAAATATTAACGAAGTAATTTAAGAATGGAACTTTTAAAAAAGTGTTTAAAGAAAGTTGAGCGTGTAGCGGATAAAATATTTAAATGACTTTTAGCAATGTTGTCAGAACCGAACCGGAGCAAAACCCGATAATGCGAACGGCTCGTATTTTTGTGGTCCAACCGGCATTAGATCGTTTAAAACCGTTAGAGAACCGGTACATAATAAACGTTATCAGTATAAATAGTGGACATTTCTTAATTAGAGCTTGTCTCTTTCCTTCGAAATTGTGAAATGGAAATAAGGATTCAGTTTGAGAGCCCGATGTTTTTGGTTTATTTCAATTTTCAATTTTGTGTAATTTTTTTAATTAAATTTAACAGCTGAATGAGCAAAACCGGACGAGCGGCTCGATCGGCTAACCACCTCAGCCGCTCGTCAACTGCTACATAAAACTGAAACGGTTTTTATACTGTTCCGAACCGATTTTATGACCGGATGACGGTTTTACCGGTCGGACCGAGCGGCTCAGCTGGACTTTAATAACATCCTACATCTATCTATGGCCTAACTGGTTTTGCTTATTGTTTCATCGTTTATAGCATCCTACATTATTTGCATACGGAAGAAAGTCCGAGGCTTAATTAGGCCTTCAAAAAACTATAAAAAAAAGGGACATTGCAAGCCGTTTACTTTTCCAAGCAGTGCCGGTTGCTGTGCGCTAGATAGATGAATTACTAATTTGGACACCTACTAATCAAGAATGAAGATGGTATAGCCGTACAGTCATGGTATATAAACTTATGAAGTTGTGTGCCAGCTAGAAATTCCCAATAAGACTCTTTGGAGTATTTCAATATCCATATTCGCATTATAACAATTTGGATTAATTATTATGAGGCACGATTGTACGAGTCCAGACATGTATATTCATGTGAGTGTATAAATTAACGAGAAAAAAAGATTAGAATTATTAAGAATTTTATTAAAAAAATCAATAAACAAACTATAATATGATAAAAAATGTAGTTAGATTATTCGAAAAATGAGATTTTTACCTATTTACAACTTTAGTATAACCAAGGTTCAAAAAGGCGCTAGGCGTAAGGCGGCCGTTGAGCCTTTGCCTAGCCTAGCTCGCCTAGGCGTTGGAAGAAAATAGTTATTCGCACTGCATGATGAATGAAATAATAATCTACAACACTTTCTCACTTCAGTTTAAATGATTAATAACTTACTCAACACATAATGACAAGAACATAGCTCATGAATTCATAAATTTATAGATCAATAGCTCACAAAGTTCTTGAGATATTAATCTAGAAAATTGATTTCGTAGTTGATGTTAATTTTCTCCTTTAATATTGACTTCCTAGCTCCATCTAGAAATGTTTAGGAGATACTTATATGTCGCCTTATTCCATTGAAGTATTCCAATATCTAATTATGCGCGAAACCCTGAGGCGCGAAACGTTTTTCCATTGCCTTGCGCTTAGGCATGACTAAGCATAAAATTAAGCGTGTCTTTTTTAACCATGATTATAACTGAAATATGATGTAATAAAAGTAAAATCATAAATAATTTGATAAGTACATGCAATTACACATGCCTGTTTCACTAATGAAATGAGCCGCTTTTGATTCCCTGTTGAGAAGATTTTCGTTCACTTTACAACTCTATGAGCCGTTAAGTGAGTATATTATATATCAACCCCAACTAGTGTGATGGCTGATAACTACAGGGAAACAAAATGTGATTAGTTACTACTATATACAAAACCTACAACAGCAAAATATCTCTTATATTATTATTGCTACGGGATAACATGTGATTTCGATATTTAAGATCAATACGGTTAGATTTAACATTTGACTCTAAATATATTGTTGATTCCTGAATCGGTATCTGTACTTTGGTACTCGCATGCTGTTGATAATTTAGACAGTAACGGAAATGACAAACACGATTTACGTGGTATCCCTGGATGATCCAGGACTAATCCACGGAGGAGTATGAAGCTCCTCAGCTACTGATGTATTGGTTATGTTCGTCGAACAGATTCATCAGCTTACAATGACGGCTGAACCAGCTTTTATATCACAAGCTTAGCCGAACCCTAGAACCATTAGGTTACTACGTTAACCTTCCTAATGATCATGGGCTGCATGGGCTTTAATGATCTATTGGGCTATCACGAGGACACTACCTACAGCTACATTACATAACACAAGACTACAATATAATCAACAGCCTCCCCCAAATTGATGCGTGTCTAACAACATCAATTTGCTAGATAGAAACCAATGCCGGCTAGTGGAAAAAGACTTCGTGAACAGATCAGCAACTTGATCTTCTGTATGTATGTAATGTAGTGTAACTGTACCATCTCGCACCATGTCTCGGACGTAATGCACGTGAATCTCGATGTGTTTGGTTCTATCATGAAGCACTGGATTCGCAGCCATACGGATAGCACTAGTGTTATCAACCATCAGCTCCATAGGTAGTGAACAGGATATCCCCAAATCAGCAAGTAACCGACGCATCCAGACTAACTCTAAAGTAACGTCAGATATAGCTCTGTACTCAGCTTCTGTAGAAGACTTGGAGACTTTATCTTGCTTCTTGCACTGCCATGAAACAAAAGAATCTCCATACTGCACACACCAACCAGTGGTAGAACGTCGCGTATCTACACATCCTGCGTAATCAGAATCAGAATAGGCTCGAAGCCTAGTCTCCCCACTCAAAGAAAAGAGAATCCCCACATCCTTTGTCCCTTGTAAGTACCTCAGAATCCGATGAACTGCAGCTAAGTGATCCACACAAGGTTTAGACATAAACTGACTTACCAATTGAACTGCATATGAAATGTCCGGTCGAGTCGCTGCCAAATAAATCAGGCTCCCCACTATGCTTCGATACTGTGAACCATCCTTAAGAAGCTCACCAGACTCCCTACCAAGCTTCAAATTAAGTTCCATGGGAGTAGAGACAGGATGGCAATTCTCAAAATTATGGTCATGTAACAGATCAGTAATATACTTCTTTTGACAAAGGAGTATCCCTTTACCAC